TGTCATTATGATTCTAAAGTACTGTTCGCTTGTTGGACATAAGTATCATCATGCAATCATTTGTACTTAGCCTAGCTCTAATGTACTATGGTCGATGTAGCGAAATGCGTAGACAATAAACTGTTCTTCCATCTGTTGTATTAGGTGTCTTGAACCATGAATCATTCAAACACCTATCTAAATGTAATTTAATTTCCTGATCACAATTTTGCCAAAGTTTTCTGCTGTAGCTTTAAAGCTATTTGTTTCTTAACTGGCACATGTTTCTTTTGTGCGTTCTTAAAAACGAAATATTCTCGTGATCTTGTTCAAGCAGTAAACTTTCGACTTGCAACGTCATGCAGTACCGCCACAATATGTTACTAGACATGATGCAACGCTCGTGATGATTATGAAACTGTTCTAGGAACAAAATTAAGCGAGATTTACCTAACATTGGAGACGCTAAAATACTGCAAAAGCGAAACCAGTTGAAGTGCCTCCTCTTAAGGAAACTATGAGCAAAGCGGTAGTGCAGCATACCGTGAAATCTGGTTTTCGAGGAGCTATGCGACAACGGGTATGACGCAAAGGCGCACTATCGTAGCAGAACTATATCACAAGAAGCTAGTAATGTACTACAGTAGTAACTTATAAAAGAACTCAGCTCGTCGTCGGTGCCTGAACCGTATCCAGCGACACGTAGACAATGCAAAAAACGTACCGGCGAGCACTGAGCCAGTCGGTCAGCGGCGATCATCTGGACGCTCATGTTTCGCGACTGTGACTTGCCTCTGGATTTTATGAGCCGCTGCAGCACCTTCGGCGAGCTGATTTTGATGAACATGATGATCGGCGCCAATGTCGTCTTCGACAACTGCGAAGGATGGTTGATCGTGTCGCAGTCGAGAATGACCAGTTGCATGCAGCGCGCCAGCTCGAAAATGCGCTCGATGTCTGCCTGGATCTGAGCTGAAGCAACGAACACATAAACGATAAAATATGAAAACAAACGAACAAACAAAAATAACATAGAGTAACAAAATACAAACTAACTACGAATAATAAATTCTTACAAGGAACACAGCAAGATAGAGAAGAGCAACATCGAAAGTTATCGAAGTGCATGATGAGCAATTAGGACAAACTATTAAGGAAGAACAACGAAACAGTGGCAAAAGCACTGAGAAATATAAAATATACACTCACCAAAAAGGGAAACATCATAGTTAATGAACAAAACGAGAAGAACAGTGAAAAACAATACACATAACTGAGTATATTCGAGCATAGAGACGAATACAAGAATGTACGAAAGAACAACGAAAATCAAATGACAAAACAGAATGCATACAAATAAAGGCGTTCAAAATGGCATTCTAATCCCAGGCAAAGGAATCGAAACGTCCCACTACGATATAAGTCTGTTTCACCTCAGTTCCTTAACCTTTACTGAAAAATCATAATTTAGAAGTCACATTAAACCATTTGTAATGAGCCTTGATTAAAAGAGCATTACAACAATGATTTAAATTGTGAAAAATCACGAAAATATTAGGAGCAGTAAAGAACAAAAAATCATTAACATACAATGATAAACAGTAAAAAGTAAGGAATAAAAGAAATAACGAAGAACATTATGCAAGGAAGTAAAATCACGTAATGAAAAACGAAGAATAACAGGCAACGCAAAAAGAGTAAAACGAAGGAGCAAAAGTGATCGCAAACAGCCTGTACAACAATGAAAATAGGGAAGAATACATGACGACTAAATGAGAAAATGAATTAAGGAGAATATGACCGGCTACGAATGAACGAACAAAATAACAAATGAGATAACCAAAGAATTCCATTCTTGAAATAAACTTTTATTCATAATCGAGTATATTTTCCGTTAGTCGTTCACCATACAACCTATCAACTTTAATTCAATCATCGTTATTTTATTGATTTTGAACGAATTCGTAACCGAAAATATAAATGATTAGGAATGAAACAAATGCGAGCTTATTACTTGTAAGGGTTCGCCGAAAACATGAAACTTTTCTGCAAAACAAAAAATTACCGGCAGCTCACAAAATAAACACGTCACGGAATTAACAGTCGTATTTGATCACAAAACAGCAAGAACATTCAGGTAACAAATGGAACGCTGCTGAAACGTACATCATACCAAAATAAACAGAAAAGAAATAGTGCCACAATCAGCAAGTTCAGGCCCTTAAACATCATCGGAACCGTAGAGAATACGTGTCGATGCTGAAATTACTGATCTGCGATACAGCCGCCTCCTGGCAAACATACCAAGGTACCTGAATCGAGAGGAGATGGCATGGCATACATTATTAGCGCTTAGAATGCAATGAACGTGTGCTACTAGAGATGATTCTGCATCCAATTGGATTATCATCAGATCGGTGAACTATCCAAAAGCCGAAGCAGATCATTTTTAAGCAGATGGCATATTCTAGAGGCTTGTCTGAAAGATCCTCTTCGCGCACTGAAGTCGCATACTAACAAGCCATAAAAAATGACTCGTGGCAATGTCTCGGTATAACGTGTATACGAAGTGGTAGAGTACACGTGAAGGGAAATCCCATAACTGAGGCTTCTGCGTCGTTCTGCATCAAATGAAACTCAGCAACGCCTAATCACAGCTGACTGAAGTGTGCCTGTCAAAAGTAAATTTACATGATAAAATGACACCTATATTATGATCTGACATGAGTGAATAAGTGTGAGAGATAAAGTTGCCATCAACGAAAACTAACAGTAATAATAACGTAATAATAATTACAAAAAAAACAGAATGAAACGATGTAAATGAAGAAAAAATATTAATTCATACGAAACATAAACATCAGAAGCTTAAAAAATATTACAAATGCAACAACAGAAAAAGAAATCGTGTATTAAACTAATATTGGGAAATGAAATCAGGAAGGCTTTATCTGATAGCTGACGCTTCCAACGACAAATACATTGCCTACCACCACGACGGACAAAATGGCAACAGGAAAGTGGAGTCAAATTTAAAACTGGTCCAGGTTAACGTAAAACGAAATAAACCTGCAATACCAAGAGTAAAAAAAGACCACCAAAAAACTTAATATAAAACATTTCAAGTAACCATGAGAGCTATATCAATTATTATAGATAAAGTAAGTTGCACCTTAGATATCAGAATACCTGAACCAGCATTTGCATATTCTGTCTTAAATGCATGCAAATACTAAGCCCTGTCTCAATTTCAAATACTGAAAGATATGCGCTGCGCAGAAATCATGAGTGTAGCAATGGTATCTGTGATCATCTAAGGCATAAATCACAAAGCCTGAACACTTGCGATGAGTGTAGTGCTTCGTTAGCTGCACCTTAAGAGCCTGATTTTCGTTCAAAGATTAATAGCACTGTACGGAATGCAAGGAATCTAATCACCACAGTATTAGTTTCCCGCAGCTTACGCTGCACTCGACTGTGTGCGACAAACCCTACCTACAGTATTTTCTCTACTGAAAAGCAAAGGCCAAAATCCGATTGTTCTAAAAACGACGGTTTAAGACTACGCATTGTAACAACAGGCAAAAAACAACAGCGAATTATAAGTACAAAAACAATGAGATATGAAGAATGACGATTGATACAAACGACAGAAAATGTAAAACACCGGATAATCAAAACAGTACCCAGATTTGTTGCCAGCCGTGTGTTTGACTTGTCTGCCTGTGACCAACGACCAAGATGGTTGTGGGTTGTTCTTTTCGCCAGCGACAGATCCACGCTCACTCTCGTGATGATGATTCTAAACGGGTCATATAAAACTCATAAGTGTGACTGATTAACGCCTTTTATACGGATTCAATTTTCATTGGAAGAGAATTTCAATTAGCAGTTCTCCAAGCAATGGGTCGAAATTTTTATCAGATTGCTGAAGGCTTACCCTGAGCCAAAGAACGAAGAGAAATATCTTTTTTGCGATATTTAAAAATGCTATTAACAAATCTAACTTTAGAGGCCACTCGCTTCAAACAAATTCCTTGAATATTATATAGAGAAGGAAAGTTATTCATCGCCGTTTTTTCAAGGGTCTACTACGCATCTACAGTCCATTCAACAAAATCTCGACGCTACCCATCGAGATGGAGCTATCTCCAGGAGATATCAAGTAACAACAATAGCAAAAACAATGACAGCAATGTAATTGTATACAACAATTGCAGGATAATAGTAAGGTGCGAATAAAACAATCGAATAGCTTATACGCACTGTGCTTCTTTTAGACCTAATTAAATCAAAATCTTTAAGTATGAAGTACAGTAGGCATAAACACTTCGTTGGTCGTATTTACACTTACTATCATCCCATGTCAACGATGTAGCTGACACTGTTTTTACAACTTATGTTACATAACGTCGACTGAAGATAGATCAAGGTCGACAGAAAAAGTAGTAACGGAGTGGAGTAATAATATTCAAGTATAGTAGTTGCTTTAGGTCCCTTTTAAGTCCTACTCCCACTATTTAAACGTGATAGGAGCGTGACAACGGCCTCTCAAGAAGATATACTGCTGAGTCTCTAAGCTCCGGCAAGCTCACAAAGCTTGATAAAAACACCCGACCTAGTAAGAAGCAACATTCACCAACCCACCAGGCCAGTGTGGTAAATTATGGCCACATCCTCCATAATGAAATCAGAATTAATTGAACGATCCTCATTTCCTGAACAGTGAACTGAAGCTGGCGAAGGCAGCAACCGGTCAAGCATGAAAGCAGAGGGCATAAGAATACCCGGGTTACGAATCGCAGCTGCTACACTTTACTAATGCAGACAATGTACATGCAACTGCAGGTCGCATCTCGCTGAAACAGCGGTTCAAGAGCTGAAAGGAAACCTTAGGAAAATCAAGTGGGACACTGTAGGATTCAATGCAGTTTGCCTAAAGGAAGAGTGATTGTCAGAACACAAACGTGGACACTTGTACTGGAGGATCAGCAAATTGAAGTATAGGTAGGAGTAGGGTTTATTATCCCCAAAGGATTAAGAAACAGTGCAGCACAAATGCTTCTTAGAGGCGTGCAAGGCCGCTACTGAGAGTTTCAAAGAGATTCGAACTCCATACAATCCACAAGTCATCCTGATGTAAAAATTTTAAATGTTTTTTTAACGAAAAACAAAAAGTACAACAGCACGAAAAGAGACATTACAAGCTCCTCATTTGTGAACACCTATACCAAAGTAGGATCGCAGCAAGTAAATGAATGCACTGTTGGCGACTTGGCTACGGCGTGGATATTCGACGCGGAAAAATTAAAGTAAAACCGCTCGCAGATCCAACTCAAATTAAATAGCTGATTCGATGTCCTTGACGGAATGCAAAAAAAAGAAGAAACATGAGAAACAGTTGACATCAACGCAGTGTATCAGGATATAACAAAAGTAGTTATACAAAGAGGAGACAACATTTCCGGTACAAGAATTATGAAGGCTTGACCGAAAAACCACGAAGCAAACGAAAAACCACATGAAGCAACAAAGAAAAATCAAAGATAAAATAAGAGTAATTTTTCAAAACAGTGAAAACTGATAAAAAAATACGTCTGAGCATAAAACTGCCAAATGGTAAAGGAAACTCTGAAAACAACCGAAGCACGAACAAATCAAAGGTTGATGGTCTGAAAAAAACAACTTAAATTTTATCTCTCAGAGCAGTAAACTGTATTGTAATCAGTGGCAGACAAAACATTCTGAAGACAGTTGAAGATTTCTTCAGAAAACTGTATAAAAGTGAACAATAAAACTATACGTGATGATAGGAAACCTGAAAATACAAACAGAGTTGAAGAAACTCTAGGTATCTAGCTGAAAGAACAGCCGATATGCAATAAAGCTGTCGAAGTGAGAAAGGCCTCATGACGATGATGCATTGCAGTGAAACAAGTGCTACCGGGCGGTGAAGCACTGATCAAGATA